GGACACTTACCCTGCCTCACCACTCTAAGCACGTGTCAAGTACATATGACATAATGGTAGTATTTATGAGACTACAGTACTCCCCGCACCCCGCTCCCTTCAAACCTGAAATCTCAGGCTGTAATTACCATGCCATGATCACAAAGTTGTGTTTTGTCAGGTTGGGCCCTGAATGGGTGGCAGCATAATTCCATGCTGCTGGTAGGAGCACGGTGCAGCTGTGCAAAATCAGAATGTTTGCTGTTGTTTATTGTTTAAGGCGTCACTTTCCCCTCTAACAGCCTAATGAAGGGATGTTTACTCCATTTGCATGGGTCCACCGACTGTTGCAAGCTTGACTTCTAATTGACCGAGTGAGGTGAAATAAATCAACAAACTGAGATTTTGCCCTTTACATTAAAAAATGTGCGTTCTTAAGTGTTTATAACTATTTATATAAATTCTACAAGGTTGCATAACATTGACACAGTGAATTATACTTATATATGCTACATTGAATTACCTGATGAATTCTTAAGGGGTTTCACCTAAAACACTATATGTGAAAAAACATAGCATCACATCCAGTTTAATTACTAGAATTAAAAACATAAATTTTACAAGCACTTAGGAGTGGCAACACATAGTCCCTAACCAGTCAGGGACCAATCAATCCATTGTTAGAAGTAAAGTTAGTGTGCCAGCAACAAACATAGACTAAAACTGAAAAGTTAGAAAAGCAACTAAACACTAAGTAAAATAAATGAAACTTTTATGATGTTTGGAATGTAGTCTGTTTCAAGCCCTGACAAGTAACAGAGTGTTCTTTAAATGAATTATGAAAACTACCTTTGCTTCAGAGCTAGACTTAAGAGAATGTTCTCATGGACTCTGAGATACTGTGATGTTCATATCTACCTAAATGAGGATGGTGATTGGAGGGACAGGCTGGTAACGGCCACAGAGTCATAGGAGAGCCAAGAATTGTAGGCATGGGAACGCCACTGATTAATGGGCAAGGAAACTCAGGTTCATTCATAAAGGAGACAGAGATGCAGGTCAGCCCACCTGGACCCGGGGTCCTGGGCCTCAGAGCAGCACCCTCTTTTGTTATCTCATACAACCTCTCATCAAAAAATAATTAAATAAATAAATAAATAAATAAATAAAACACCTCTGGGTAGATGTTTCTCTGTTCTGGAGAAAGACATAGCATTTTCAGCTCAGGGGGTTTTCATCATAAAGATCTAGGGAACTTTATGAGGTATGGACAAGTTTGAAAATACAGAGTTTGGTTTTGTGGTTGATTAAGAGGCTCTGAGGATAGAAAGATCGAGGGAACTGGCTAGGAAGAGAAGGAGAGGCATGGAAGAAAGATAAGCAGTGTGTGGGGAGATAGAGATATGGCACAGTGGGAGAGAAAAACCACAGAGGAAGAGAGAAAAGGGAGGATAATGGCAGGCAGAGAGACAGAAAGGCCCCGTAAGTTTAGATTGCTGATCAAGGCTTGTGCTGTGCGATGTTTACAGCTCTTCAACTGCTCAGGAACTTGTGCCTTTGAGCCCTTACTTCTTATCAGGTAACAGGCAGAGCATTTTGCCAAGAGAGAATCAAAAAATTTAAGCCACAGAAACAATCGGAGCGCATCTTCTTTAGATCTTTAGAAAATCAAATCGACAAGCCACATCCTTCCTCTGAGTTTCTCTACCCTTGCTTTGAAGAAAGGGCATTGCATTTCAGTCTATCTTTTACTGTGAGGTTTGTAATCAACACTGGATTTCTTATAATAGCAAGTTCTTGATCAGTAAAGAAGATATTTTGAAATTTAACTCTTATGACCTCTCCTCATTTGAGACACATACTCTACAGACAGGAAAAGTCACTCTAAGTCATGAGTGTGAAATCATTTAAGACAAAGGGTGACCTACCAATGACCGTGACATAGCATTTATGCTTTTAGTGATGACTTTTACAAGAAAGCAAGTCACACTAAGCCCTTGACCACAAACATGAGATGTTCGTGTCACATTGAAATCTGTTCTTGCTCTTTCTGGAAAACCTCTTATCTGATATTATAATCATTTGAAAAACCATTTATGTTCTTCACATCAGATGTGATATCCCAGATGGCGTACATTCATTTTATGTTTTATTTGTAGCCAAAAGTGGGTTAGCCTTCCTGTTTATTATTCATATTGACAGTTCATATAACCTGCATAATTGTTACTGCACTTACAATCACATTGTTTAATGGAGAAGAGATATTCAGATTCATCCCTGGAATTTCCTCATCTGTAATATTTTCATTAGTTTTGCCTGACCCTACTATTGCTGCGAAATTTTGTTTTTATGTACATAGAGTAAATTGTCATCTGTTTACAAGGTTTGGACAGGGGATCAGTGGCATCAGGGATACATGCTCTGAGGTGCCTGTTATGTGTAGGTACAGTGCTCAACGGAGAAAAGGTGGGAACAACAGTTCTTGGCCTTAGAGGCTTATAATGCACTGGAGAAGATAGACATATGCATAAGGAAAAAAAATTTTATGCTACCATTTATTTACTAAACCTTTCATCTTAGTTTTCTTTCAGTAATTGGAAACCAAACTTAGGAGAGAAAGTATTTTCTTATTCTATCAGAATAAGTACGAACAGAGCACATAAACTCCCTCATTTAATTGTCAGACTATTGCCTCTGAAGTAGATACTATTATCCTCATTTTCTAGATTTAGAAATTGAGGCTCAGAGAATTTAAGTTGCTCAATCATTGTAACTCTTCTTTATTTTGTAAAAATAGACTTTTCTGTCTGCGATGAAGTGTGAATGTATATGCTTAAAATATTTCTGTGACTCTGTAATTGAAAACTCCCAATTCAAGTGTGCTTATTGGCCATATTTGAAATACTTCTTATATAGTCCATCTATATTTTTCTCATAAATTCGACTTATTTTCATTTGAGAGGATATTTGGTTTCCAAATGGAGAAATAATTTTAACTTATAGGAGTGGATAAACCAGAGACATGCAGAAATTGGTGTGTATCTTAAAAGAGAATTTTAATTATAAGGACCGCTTAAATCTAAAGCTGTTCCCCTTGGTATAAGCCAGCGATTTTCAACCTTTTTCATCTCATGGCATATAAACTAATTACTAAAATCCTGCTGCACACCAAAAAAGATATTTTAGTTTTTGCTGCTATGACAGAAAAAAAAGTATAATTTTGATATATTTTATTTCATTCACACCGGATGGCTATTGTTGTATTGGCTATTGTCATTTTTTTTTAATGTAGCAATCTAAGGAACAATTTAGTCAGTGTTCCTGACTAAATAGTCAGGTATTACATGTTTTAAAAATTCTTGCAGCACACAGTTAACATGGCTGATATAACCCATTTACTTTGTGAAATGTGTTTTTATTAAAAATGGTGTTTTGGGTGAATTTCTTGAAGTTCTGTGAATCTCTGCAAAAAACATTATAGGGGGAGATCACATAAGAAGATGGATTGCTTCTGTATATCAGAATAAGGAATACTAGGTCAGCAAGAAGGAATGTTAGAGCAGCAATACCTTAAAGAGAGGTACAAGGAGAAAAGGGATGTGGAGAAAAAGAATATCACAGACATATACACATATACACTGATATACTATATCCAACCAAACCTAAACATAGATACTTTGCTTTTTAGGCATCGGATCCTAATAATTTCATTTATGTGTTTTCTGGCCATATACATTAGCACTACTAGATCTTTTGTCAGCCGTATTCTTGAAAAAAAAAAATCGATTCATTATTTATCATTCATCAAACCCTCACAATAGATAGGTACTGTGCTCAGTGATAAGGATACAACAACAGAGAAGATAGTCTTTGTCCTCAAGAGCACCCAGCCTCCTGTGGGAAAGGTGTTATTGCAGTGATATGATGAAATAGGAGAGACAGTCACAGAGAATTCCTAGAGGAGGGATATCATGGAGGATCGCTGGAGGAGGTGATGCCTGAGCTGAGTTTGGAAGAGCAAGCAGCAGTTAGACTAAAGGAAGTGGGGAAAGTGGAGCCTTCCAGTACACAGCGTGAAGAAGACCAGGAGCTTGAGACAGAATACACACTGGGATGGCTGGAATGTAGTGATGAGGGACAGAGGAGAGGTGAGGGTGGAGAGGTAGGGCAGATTTAACTGGACGAAGGGCTAACTGGACTTTGCACTGCTATTAACAGGGAGCCTTTGTAGGGGAGAAAGCAGGGCAAGGTCAAGTTTTATCTTAATGGGTCATTCTGGTGACTGTGTGGACAATGGGCTTTGGATAGACAAAACCAGAGTTTGGGATCCAGTGAAGATGCTGATGTAAGAATGCCGGCAGGAGATGCAGAGGGTTTGAACCAGCATCATAGTTCAAAGGGTAATGGGAACAGGGCAATGGTGGCAGAGGGCTTACACATGTTTAGGGGGTACAGTTGGTTAAGTAAGACCAAGTGCTTATTTGGATTTGGATGGATGGATTGATCAGGATTTTTTCAAAGTTTTATTTTGGGTGGCTGGGCATGGGGATGCAGAGGGCCCTAAATCTAGGTGGAGCAGGAACAGGAACTGGTGTGGCCAGTTGGAGGTGTGGTTGGTTTAGGTTTATCTAGGAAGATGTGATCAGTATATTGGTTACTTTAGAGCTTGAGAAAGAGGTTTTTGGTGGCAAATCTGGGAGCTGCCAACCTAGAGGTGTATTAATTTGAATATACAGCCTCTTCTGCGTAGTACATTGTTGTTTTCTCCTGACATATCTTAAAGCAAAGATTCTGATCTCCATAAATACATAATACTAATAATTTACCTTCTTATTTGCATAATAACAGAGTGATCCCCTAGAAGAGAACATGCTTTAGGAAAAGTACAAGTAACCAGATCGTTGTTGGTTTTTTCCCAGTGTGGCCATGGACATGCCTGCCTCAGAGGGATGTCACTTTAGCTGACCTTCCACGGCTCATTGTGTTGAAGACTCTGACTCCACAGCTGTGTTCAGTTCAAAATGGCAGAAAAGGCTCCCCCGGGGCTCAACAGGAAGACTTCAAGGTCAACACTCTCTCTTCCACCAGAACCTGTGGACATCGTCCGGAGCAAAACGTGTTCACGGAGAGTCAAAATCAACGTGGGGGGCCTGAACCACGAGGTTCTGTGGAGAACGTTGGACCGGCTGCCCAGGACCCGCCTGGGGAAGCTGCGCGACTGCAACACGCACGAGAGCCTCCTGGAGGTGTGCGACGACTACAACCTGAACGAAAATGAGTACTTCTTCGATCGGCACCCAGGCGCCTTCACTTCCATTCTGAATTTCTACCGGACAGGGAAACTCCATATGATGGAAGAAATGTGTGCTCTCTCCTTCGGCCAGGAGCTAGATTACTGGGGCATTGACGAGATCTACCTAGAGTCCTGCTGCCAAGCCAGGTATCACCAAAAGAAAGAGCAAATGAACGAGGAACTGAGGCGTGAGGCAGAGACCATGCGAGAGCGGGAGGGAGAAGAATTCGATAACACCTGCTGCCCCGAGAAAAGGAAGAAGCTGTGGGATTTGCTGGAGAAGCCCAACTCCTCGGTGGCTGCAAAGGTAAGAAAAGCGTTGCTTTGCGGTGTGCGGTCAGGGGAGGTGCTGCCGGCATCCCAGAGGGGGTGATTTTCTTCCTTGAGGATGTCTGGGTAAGGCAGAACAAAACATGGCTACAGGGACGGGGAGGGATTCTTTCCAAAATCTTACTTAGTCACGTAGCATTATTCTGCCTGTGTAATGTCATCAAGTGGTGTTACTCTGTCATTGATGTCATTATGTCGGAACAGACTGGGCAAAGGGGATGGAGGAGTCTGGGTTCCCTGCGCTGTGTGTTGATGACTCGGAGGTCGAGGAGAAAGCACTTGCTCAGATCCATTAGGCAGGGAGTCTTGCAAAAGCTGGGGCCTGGGCTCCGTCCTGCGGAAAGGTGAGGTGTTGTCTTTGAACATGGAGGAGGTGCCTCCTGGCCTGGTTCTGTAGAAGTCAGGGAAGGAGAGGACAGTAGCTCAGAGGGCTGGCGGCCCCTCACATGAGCCAAGGTCTGAGGTGTGTCTTATTAAGCTGTGTAAGGCATGAGTCAATGTCCACCTGCACCCATTGACCTCTCCTTGTGAGTCTTGGGGTACAGTTCTTTTCACAACTGAGGTATCTCAGAGTTCATAAAAGTGTTTGCCAGAAATGAAGGTAAATCCATATGTTTCCACTGTGCCTGCATACATCCAAATCTCAGAGTAAATGTGTTGTTGGTTTTTGCCAGTAATATCAGTATTTAATTCAACGGTGTACTTCTGTTTATCTAATTTTATTTACACTGATTTTTATCCCACATATTTAGTTTTACATTGCAATATAAATTATGAGTAAAAAGTCAAACGACTCATCTTCAGCTGCAGAAATATAGTATTGATATTTTATATGAAAATAGAATATGGAATAAAAAAAAGTGTATCCTCATATGAGTTATTTAAATTACTTAGTTTCTTCAATTATCCTTTCTTATAAGTAGTAAATATTGAAAAATATAAAAGTCTGTATGCACCTTTTGACTGGAAATTAGGATTTCACATGATAACCTGCGACATATAAATAAATGGAAGTAGATGACCATAAAATTTCTCATCTGACATGTCTGGTTTTGCATCTTGTTGACTTCTAAAGGCATTTTACTTTGCTAAATGAAATGAACTGTATTTCTGTCATACCTAATGAGGAAATGTGCATTTTGCGGCAAATGGAAAATTTGTTATGAATCATTTGTTTCCCTGGTAGAAAGAAATAGATGTACTATATTTGCGGGGTTTGGTTTGAAGGTTACTGCTCTTTCCAATTTAAAATGTTTAGTTATGTATTTGAGTTACTTCTAAAAATATGGAGTGAATTTTGAAGATGAATGAGATAAACTCTGGATTTAAGGGAGTATTTGGGGTGTTAAATTAATTCTTTCAAGTCTTTAGGCAATTGAGGGATAAATCATCATTCCACCAACTGTTCCAGAGGAGACAAATATGTGGAAAATATGCAGCTAAATAAAAGAAAACTTGAAAGTTTAATGCAGTTTATTTGCTTATAATAGCATTATTAACATCTAAAATTAAGTACTGCTATAGAAAAAATTTTTTTTAATATACACATATTTTTTTCTGAAGAATTTCTAGTAAAGATGGAATAGGGTCAATTACCTTTTTTCCCAGATGGGGCAGTTCATTAAATCTCCAAATTTTAGAAACAGCAGAGCTTCTCTTAATAGCTAAGACGGTAATGTTGAGAATGGGTTATTATATTATTATACACCTCTGTTATCAGAGAGATTGCTAAACTTCCCAAATTATGTATGCACAGAGGAGACATCTACTCTCAAACTACACACAGCAGCTAAGGCCACGGGGTTGGAAATTTTTATGCAGTTATAAATAATAAATTTGTTTCCAACCGAAACCAGTTTGGCTCAGTGATAGAGTGTCGGTCTGTGGACTGAAAGGTCCCGGGTTCAATTCTGGTCAGGGGTATGTACATTGGTTGGGGGCACATCCCCGGTAGAGGGTGTGCAAGAGGCCGCTGGTCGATGTTTCTCCCTCATCGACATTTCTAGCTCTCTATCTCTCTCCCTTCCTCTCTGTAAAAAAATCAATAAAATATATTTAATAAATAAATAAATAAATTTGTTTCCAAATTATTAATTGAGCTAAGCAAATCTTTGCTAACCTAAGTAAAGTCTTCACTAAAATTTCCTAAAGGGTCTGTGTGTGTTTGTTTGAGTGTCTGCATTTTCCTCCCTGTGAATGGTGAAATAGTGTGGAAATTCTTTACATTTGATTATATGGCCTTTAGTGAAGGCATTGTTCATTTGTCTGAGGCTTGGAACCTTTTGAAAACAGCTCTGTGTGGTGCCTTCTGTGAATCACTACCTTTTCCTGTATTCTTCGCAACTCCATAACTTGGTATTTCTACAGAATAATCCTTGGGGGTGCTAATGCAAGGTTAGTACGAATAGTATTTTTACAATTTAGGAACAATTGAAATAACCATTTTGTTAAAGTTGCAGTGGGATGACACACTAGCCCTTACTGTTAATAATATGGCCACATTAGGATCTTATGCTTATGAAGCTCTTGTATTGGGATACTTATAACTTCTGTATTTTCCTACCTTGCTTAGGAGGTAAGATTGGAGGAGAATTTACTTTGCCTATTCAATAATTATTCATTCAGTTTGGTAATTTGGTTGAATATATATATATATATATATATATATATATATATATATATATATAATGTTCTCTGTGCATTGCAGACATTAAAATACAAGCAGAAAGACACTCCCTTCTCTTCAGAATTTAAAAATATATCCTCTTAACTTAAACAAGGATTTCATATCCTTGAAAAGATTTGTTTATTTTTCTTTTTTTTTCTATATTTTATTATTTATCTATAATATCCCTGTAACAAAGAATAAAAGTTATGAGATTACTTGCCAATTTCCTAGCACAGAAGGAAAAACGTTATGTTTTCTGTCAAATATTCCACAATAGGATAAAATAGCTATTTATTAACATGGAATGAATACTCAGTAATCAATTAAGCAAGAATCCTTTAGCCACGCTCTGCGCATCCACTGTGATACCCAAAGCTACTGCAGTGCCCATGGTCGGTCATCCTCTGGCTTTGGCTGAGATCTTCGACAATAACAATTTGGCTCTTACAGAACATGCTTCTTGATGTCACTTCTATGGATTGAACTTTCCGGCATATTAGTAACTAAAAAAAAAAAATTAAAAAATGCTAAAACAGTGTTTAAAGTTCAGTGTATTAGAAATTACTGCATTAAACAAAATAACATTTTTACTCATACACAAAGTACCATGGAATGTAATTGTATTTAATTTACATAATATACAAAATAATGACAGGGCTGATAGAAATTGGTAGTGTATAATTTTCTGTGGTTTGGTATGGTCTGGCAGTGTGGCATGAGTTTATCTCTCTGTGAGAGATAAACTTGGACCTTCAATCTTTAGGACTGCATGTGTGTTGTGTGTGTACTGTAGGTACACCCTCATGGAGAGGCAATGCACAGAGTTTACACTGGGCTGGCACAGATGCGGGGTTGCCAGGACATGCCATTGCTGGCTCTGGGATATCTTTCCTGGGGACATGCAAGGGCAGAAGAAGGGCTTACCCTGCAGCCAGTTTCCTGGGCAGGGAGCTGGAATTTGACCCTGTAATGTCCCTCCAACCTGAGGCAATTTAGTCAGCCTCTGGATCGGACACATTTTTCCCTTTTTGTTGGCCTCTTCCCAAAGGAACTACAGCAACTGTCTGTAAATATTGCCACAGCAACATCAGGCCTCTAGATGTTGGAAAGGGTATCAAGCATTGGGTGTCATGAAATGTGGTATTATCAGCCTCTGTGAGGAGAGAGCCACCAGGAAGAGCACAGCCCACTTGCTAGCTGAAAGGAGCTAGATCCTCAGTGTCATGCAGCACCCTCACTCTGCATCTCTGAAGAAGGTCAAGAACGAAGGAAGTCAACCAACCAGTTCTTCAATCCAATCCAGAGAGGAACCCAGACATGTAGGTGGTGGGCATGATGTTCAGGACAATGCCAGCCAAGAGGCCCATCACAAGTGTCAGGCCATGAAGTTGGACTGTAAGCAGCTCTTATGGGATAAGCACGACATGAAGCAAAATCTGCCCCAAAACATTACGTTCATCCGAACCCTTACAGTGAGAGCCAGCAGCATCCCTGGTGGCCAGGATCCAGCGCTGAGTGGGGACACTTTATTATCTGATTCCCTCTCCCCAGCTTCCCTCTTTATCCACAGCTACCACTATTACCTGAGGACTCTTCCCTCATCTTCTTACATTTCCCCCAATTCTTTGTTCCTCCATCCTTCCCTGTCCCCTCCCTAGCACAGGAGAGGGAAAATGATTGATAGAGAATTATCTCTCAATCTTTTTTCATTAACGGCCCCCTGAGAAGAAAATTTAAATTCTCCCTAAAGGGAAAGACTAAACACTAAGGAATAATATTTGCCAGGTAGGGTGGAGTTGGAGGGTTACAAACTATTGGAATGTCGAAGATCTTTTCAGCCCTCCCACACAAATCAATTTACTTCCTTGGCAGTAGCATTCTGTGGAAACTGCCTAGAGCGGTGGGGGGGAAAGGGACCCTGGGGAGTAGATGACTGTTTTCTGCCTCCACACGCACCCTCATGGCCACAACCATTGACGTGGCCCAGTGCAGCACCTGAAGCAGGCATGGGAAGAGTTGGAGACGTTAGTCATCTTCAGATCCAGAGGGAAGCCAGTGGTGGCAAAGGTAGGACTCTGCCCCTGGAACTCCCGCTTCCTGGAGAGCCAGAGCTCAGAGTGTGAGTCTCCCGGGGGAGGTGCCTGCTTGGGTGCCCCGCTGGTGGTAAGTCCTTGAGGACCATACTTCCTCTTCTAACCAAATTAGAGTGTCTGCCTTTCAAGTCACAGAAATAGTAAAATGAAAACGAATCCAAATAAAACAAGAACTCCTGTACACTCACCGAGGGGGGAAAGAATGCATAACATTCT